GGGATGTCTCGAGGCTGTGTAGTTGCGGGCTGTCCTTGAGAATGTGGTTATGAATAGAAACAAGGACGTCTGGGTTTTGAAGAAAGTTTCCAGTTTTATTCAGTTCTTGTTATCTCTGCAACTGAGCAGGACACGTGGACCAGACTAAAGCAAGAGCTTGAGAGATTTCAAGATGGTTTCCAAAGGCCTCATGTCCTAGAAATATGGAGAAGAAGCAAGCAATTAGACACGTCTGAGCTCATTTTAAAATAATTTAATTTTATTGTATGTACATTAGTGTGACAGTGTCAGATCCCTTGGAACTGGGGTTACAGACAGTTGGGTGCTGCCATGTGGGTGCTGGGAATTGAACCCAAGTCCTTTGGATGAACAGACAGTGCTCTTAACCACTGAGCCATCTCTCCAGCCCCCTGAGCTCATTTTTAATGGTTTCCACTTACAGACTCCCTTTAGCCTACTTAACAAGTTCAGCTCCCAGGCAAGAATCAGGAAGTCAATGAAGAAACGAGGGGAAGTGCCAACTGTCCAGGTTGATCTTGGAATCATTCCTGAGTGGGTTGAGAATTCCTAATCCAGAAGTAAAGAAATATCAAGGCTCATGGCTGTATATTTTAGTAAGATACGTACTTCTTGGTTCAGCAATGTAAATGACCGAGAGTGCCTGGTACTGAAGTTTGGCTTTGTTCTACTTTATTCCTAGTGGGAAGCGCCTGGGGACTCAGTGTTAGAATATAGTTGAAACTTTTACTGAAGGAAAAAGGAAGAATTCCTTTTCAAGATGGAAGTGCTGTGACAGCTGGACCCTGGCTTTGCTCAGCTGCCTCTTAGTGTGGGGGTGACAGCTGCGTTCAAAGCCATTCCTATGGGCAACACAGACTACACTAGGAAGCAAAAAGAGCTAGCCCTCCCTCTGCCTGTCCTTGGGATGCTGAGCCCTAGGACACCTACTTTCTTTTTCCAAGGTCACCCACACAGGAGAGTAGACTCCAGGCTTTCTCTGACATTTACCCTTTCTCTGCTTCCATAGCTCTAGGCTTTAGGAGGTAGAGCCGTGTTTGCTGTGGTCGAATCCTAGCTGGCACAGGGAGACCGTACTTTCTGATCATTTCTGGACTGCATGGTACTTCCCATCCCACCTCACCAGCTGGTGTCTGAAGACAGAGATGTGCTTGATTCTATAAGCTGAGAGCCATATCCACCCAGGGTCCCTCACTCAGTCTCTCAGCAGCTGCCTGCTAGGGACTGGGGCTGAAGACATTCAAGTGAACAAAACAGACAAGAGAAGAACCTAACCTCACAGGCTTACATTATAATAGAGGAAGACAGAAAGTAAATATACTGTGAAAAAATATGGTAGAAGATGCCAGATGTTTCAGGGCAAATAAAGGAGAGGAGGAGTCACCGACAAGGGCTGGAGGCTGCACTATATGTTTTTTTCATTAATTAGTTTATTTATTCACATCACATTTCTGTCGAAGCCTTCCTTCCTTCCCTCCTCCCCATTCCATCTTCATAACCCCTCCCCCCCTTCCCTTTCCTCCATAAGTACCAACCTTTCCTGGCAACAAGTTGCAACAGGACTAGGCACATTCTCTCCCACTGAGGCCAGACAAGGCAGCCCAGTTAGGGGGAAAAGATCCAAAGTCAGGCAACAGAGTAAGAGAAAACTCCTATCCAGTTGTTAGGGGACCAATATGAAGATATGAAGACCAAGCTACATCTGCTACCTATGTGCAGGGGGCCTAGGCCCAGCTCATGCTGCTCTTTGGGTGGTGGCTCACTCTCGGAGAGCCCTCATGGGCCCAGGTTAGCTGACTCTGTAGGTCTTATTGTGGTGTTTTTGACTCCTCCGCCTCCTTCAATCCTTCCTCCCATTCTTCCACCAAACTCCCCAAGCTCCACTTATTGTTTGGCTGTGGGTCTCTGCATCTGTTTCCACCAGCTGCTGGGTGAAGCCTCTCAGAATACAGTTATGCTGGGCTCCTGTCTGCAAGCAGAGCAGAGTATCATTGATAGTGTCCGGGCTCTCTCCCATGAGGGGGGTCTCAGGTTGGGCCAGTCATTGATTTGCCGTTCCCTCAGTCTCTGCTCCATCTGTATCCCTGAATATCTTGTAGGCAAGACAAATTATAGGTTGAAGGTGTTGCAGGCGGCGTGTCCCCCTCCCTCCGCTGGAAGTTCGGCCTGGATACAGGTGGCCACTTCAGGCTCCATATCCCCTGCTGCTAAGACTCTGAGCTAGGGTCACCTACCCCACAGACTGCAGGGAGCCTCCCCTGTCTCAGGTCTCCAGCTTGTCCTAGAGATGCCCCCTCGCTGAATTCTCTTCTCTCTCCCAACCCCACCCCACTCTCCCCACACCTGATTCCCCACCCCGGTTCCCTACCCTCCTATTCCTCTCCCCACTCCCTCTCCCACCCAGTTCCCTCGCTCCATCCATCTTCAATGTCTATTTTGTTTTCCCTTTGTTACTTGAATTCTTTGAGTCTGTGGATGGTAGCATGGTTATCTTGTACTTTATGGCTATTATCTGCTTATAAGTGAGTACACTGTTAGTGAGGGTGCTTGGGGACATCCTCATCAGGAGACATTGCTGAGCAAAGACTCATAGGAAACTCAGAGCAGCCACAAGACTTGAGGCTTTTCAGGCTAAGGGATAACCATATAAAGGCTCCGAGGAAGGGGAATACAGGCATGACCTTGTGGTGGTGTTTTTTAGCGGTCATGGTGGCTCTTTCTCCTCTTCCACCCTTCCACGTCCCAGCGGTGACACAGATTGAGGTTCGTAGGTTGTAAGGACACACACTGCAGTGTCCTTCCGGAGCACTGTGTGGTGATGTGAGGGGCGCGCACCACGCCCAGTAGCCACACACCTGGTGGCCTCGTGCCATAGAAAGGTGGGCAACTTACCTTAAGGTGCTTTGAGGCTATTGGCTGCTGTGTCTGATGTCTCTGGGAGGACCCTGGGCCCCTCTGAGGGTGAGATGTCCCAACAGTTGGCCGTGATGATGGAATTGAGGGGCTAGAGCCTCGCTGTCCCCAGGATGGCAGTCCTCACCTCAATGACACCAATTATCTCAGCTGCTTGATGGCAGCTTCAGCTTCTGGAATTAATTTCTGTATTGATCCATTCTGATTTAAATATAGTTCTGCCTTTTTGTACAGGTATCCGATTTTTTTCTTTGTGACGAGGTCAACCTTGGATGAGTTAAGAGCTGATTTCGGAAACATGGTTGTAATTGTCCCCTTTGTTCTAGCTAATTAAATTCTTCCTTTCTCCTGTCAACTGATTCTTGAGTTGACGATCATTCCACTGGGCTTCCCTAAAAATAAACTAGGAATGAGCCAGCATTGTGACTAAACAAACCCACAGCTCTCATCCCCCATTACATGCTGTCCAAATATCAATCAATTCATCCATGTTTATTTCTTTGAACGTTTTTTTAAAAGCCTCGCCATCTCTCTTGATGTGCTGGAATTAGAGCAAAAGCAGGGCACTTGAAAGTCCCTCATTCATGGAGCTCACCTTTTTTTTTTTTTTTTTTTTTTTTTTTTTATGTGGGACAGAAAGAAAGGGATTCTTATAGATTGCACAATGAGGAAATTCTTCACCCAGGGAGCCACCCAAACATGGAGTAGGGAGCCATTGCAGAATCTGGGGAAGAGATTGTAGGCAGTATACCAGCAGGTGTCATGGCCCCGAGGAGGTGACGGGGGGGGGGGGGGGCTTTGTATAGCCCAGAGACCTGTAGTTCACAATTATGGTACAAGACAACACCTGAAGGTAGAAAGGGACCAGATCAGGGAAGGCTGTGTTGTCTTGGAATCTTGTGTGAATTTTATTTTGCACCTATAAACTTTAAATATTCAAAATTGTTGACTGTTTTGCTGTTCTCTTTGGATGCTGATGCATCGACTCTTAGGGATTCTGAGAAGGAATCACTGAGCGGTAATACAGTACTAATGTGATATTTTTGGAGCTTCATTTGATTCGGCCCCTAAGCCTCTTCCATCCCTGAAGGAGTCTGTTGGAAATTGTTTGATGAGCATAATTAGCATAAGGATAGCCATTTTGCCATGCAGAATTCTGGCCACATATGCTTTGCTGGGCAAACACATCTGAGCAAGTGAACTGAGTGTCCCTTCTATGCCACTGGTTCTGTCATGAATTCTCTTCTGCAGTCAGCTCCGAGAAGCTGGGGTGACTGAATTTTCCCTTATCAGGGGGACAAATTGTAACCGAATAGCACGGAGCACAAACCCCAACTCTGGTGCCAGCTCCAGAGGAGCAGGTGGACCTTGTGTCTGCTCTGTAGCGCGTTCCCAAGTACCAACAAGTGGCCCTTCAGAGGTCAGCAGTGAAGGACTCAGAGACCAACATGGAACCGTCTCTTCATCCTTCTCTACCGAGACCCTGTTTCTCTGTGATGACCCTGCAGAGAGATGGGACCAAAAACTTCACGACACTCTGCTGAGGTTCCCACCACACTCTCCTCCAGCCAGACTATCAGAGGAGCAGGTAGCCCTGGAAACCATGAATTCAGTAACACTATCTTAAAGATCTGCTCAAAGGATCAGGTAGGAGAAATTGGACAGCCGTTTTCACATTCAGAAATCTTACCGAGGTTCAGGATGTGAAAAGAATTCCAATTTTATCCCCACGGCATTTGTCATGACTGGCAGTTGCTGGCAGTCTTTTCTAAGGAGTCTTACTTTAAGGTTTTTGTGTGAAAAAAGGTCCACTTGATGATGTGTTCCTGAAATCTGTGTGGTTTGGGGCTTAGGGTTGGGGTGGGCTGTTCCTTATCATGTTTCTCTTGCAGAGCCTCTGCTGTCTGTGATCAGTGTCCTGTGGGGATGAACCATGGAAAGCAAAGGATTGTGTTGTCCCAGGCACTACTGTTAACAGAGCAGAGCTGTGAGCCAGGGAACTAGTTTCCCATCAGCAATACCACATTCCTTGCGAGGGAATAACTGACTCATTTGTGGCCTCCTTTCAGTTTGTTGTAGATCCTTGTGCCAGCAACCCTTGTCACCATGGCAACTGCAGCAGCAGCAGCAGCAGCAGCGGCAGCAGCAGTGACAACAGCAGCAATGACAGCTACCACTGCATTTGCAATGATGGCTACGAAGGTCTCAATTGTGAACAGCCACTTCCCAGTATTCCAGACTCTGGCTGGACAGAGTCCATGGCACCCAGACAGCTTCAGCCTGTGCCCGCCACCCAGGAGCCTGACATAATCCTGCCCCGCTCTCCGGCGACCGCAACACTGCCAACCTGGCAGCCAAAAACAGGGCAGAAAGTTGTGGAAATGAAGTGGGATCAAGTAGAGGTAAGACTATTGTACGGCAGGTGGTTTTCACAGGAGAAACCGGAAAAGTCAAAGCAATTCCAGTGGTCTTAACATAAGCAATAAAAACAGAAGGCCTTTAAGTTAGTCGCTGAGGAAACCCTGTATGTGGCCTTACATCCATCTTTGCTTGTACACATGACTTTTTTATAAGCACTGGGCCTCGAACCCAGAACTTTACAGATTCCAAGCAAGTACTCTAACACTGAGCCACCCCTGCAGCCCTTCTTTCCTTTACACTAGGTCTGTGTTGCTCAGGCTAACCCAGGCGATCACGTGCCCCCCCAAAGCCAGATTGCATAACCATTTTCTGAGCAAAAAAACCAAACCAAACCAAAACAAAAAAACCCGGATATGACAAAACTAAAAGTGAATTGAATTGTTTCCGAGAATGATCTCCGTGTACATTTCTGTGCGTTAATTTGTAATTTGACCCCACAGTTCAGTGTGGGGTCACAGATGGCTGCATGCACATTGCAGGACGACACACTGCTGACCCAACTTCCTGGAATTCATGAGTGTGGTGGTCCTGTTGGGTCTCAAAAGACACTGTTTTGCTTGGCCCTCCCCCTTCTCTGGCTGTTACAATCTTTTTGCCCCTCTTCTGTAGAGGTCTTAAGATATAGGCCAGTCTGGCCCAGACTAGCTGTATGGCCTAGACTAGATTTAGGCTTGTATAGTCCTCCTCAGCCTCCCAGGTGGAGGGATTGCAGGCTTATAGCATTACATGCTGCAATTAACTTTAAAAAAGTTTATTTTTTTAAATTAAAAATTAAAAAATACTTATTACCTATAACTTTATCTTTAAAGACTATTTATTATCTTTAATTTTATTTATGTTTTATTAGCATATACTAATTATGGATAATAATGAGTTTATTATGACATTTTCATGTTTACACAATGTGGTTTGCTCGTATTTGCTCACATTATTCTCTATTGGCCCTTTCTGTAATTCTCCTCCTCCTCCCCCTCTGCTTTTGTGTGTGTGTGTGTGTGTGTGTGTGTGTGTGTGTGTGTGTGTGTGTGTGACCCAGTTGGTCAGTTCATCATGGTTGTCTACAAGGGGAAGGTTGAGGCTGCTTACAGCAGCATGGGGGCCATACCAGTGGCCACACCACTTGAAGAAAATGGCCCTTCCTCTCCCTTCAGTCATTAATTGTGTGTACATCTTCAGGTGGATGAGGCCCAATGAGCCCCTCCCCAGCCCACAATAGGATGCCCATAGACCGGGTCCTGTGCAGATCTTGTATAGATTGTCACAGCCACGGCAGACTGGAAGTCAGCAATCCCTTCGCCTCTTCCTCTGGCTCTTACATTCTTTCCACCCCTTCTGCTTCAGTGTTCTCTGGGCCTTTTGGGAGGAGCGAAATAGACGCTTTATATTTGGCTGAGTACCCAGCAGAACTTATTTCTTTGCACTTTGACCAATACTGAGTCTCTGCAGTTATTTCTGACCACCTGAGGTGAGCATGAAATACACAGCCCTGTAGCTTAAAATACAGGTGTGAGCTGGAAAGATGACTCAGCAGTTAGGAACGCTTGCCACTCTTCCAAAGGATCCGAGTTCAGTTCCTGGCACACGAACCAAAAGGCTCACAACTGCCTGTTTCTTCAGCTCCAGGGACCCTGACTCTCTCTTCTGGTCTCTTCAGAAACTAGCCCCCGCCCACAAACTAACTAACTAAACAAATAACCAAACAACTAAAGTCTTTAAAAAACAGATATAAGCTGGGTGTGATAGTACACATTTGTAATCCCTGCACTTAGGAGCTTGAGGGTGGAAGATCATGATTCGTGGCCAACCTGGGCTACATAGTGAGGATGTTAAAAATAAAACAAAAACAAAAACTATCAAAAAAATAAAATAAGAACAATGAAAACAAAAAAATTCTTGTTGGGGGTGTAGCTCGGTGGTAGAGCACTTGCCTGTGAACCACCCTGGATTCGATTTCCGGCTCTGGAAAAAACAATGTAGTGAAAGAGAAGGGCTGCATTCCCAAACCCCGCTGTCAGTAGGCTGGACTCAGCACAGAGCCCCGTTCACGGGAGAGACGGCGTCTCCACAGGTGAGGAGGCTGCTGCTTCTAGGCAATAGGGTTTCTGCTGGTTCTTAGCTAGTCCTTGTGCCTCCGGCCTTTAACTGCTCAGAGCAGGGGCCAGTGGCCAACTGTCAAATGAGAAGAGCAGCAAGTGACATTCTGCTGTCTTCACTGAAGTGTCCATTTTTATCAGTGAACAGTCCTGCCCACGTGCAGACCGCTGTCTGCAAAGCTGCCTGCCATCAAATCAAAGGGCCACACTTTCCCTTTCCTTTTCAGTCCCTAAGGTTCTGCTTCTCCCCCTCACGGTCATCAGGTGACATGCTTGTCCCTGAGCAAAGCAGAAGGAATCACTGAATGTTCCGCCTGGGTGACGGGTCTCCTCTCTTCCAGGTCGTCCCCGATGTTGCCTGTGGGAATGCCAGTTCCAACAACTCCGCAGGCGGCCGCCTGGTGTCTTTTGACGTGCCACAGAACACTTCCGTAAAGTAAGGACTTGCTTGTTTCAAACCTTTAAGATCAACGCTGTGTGAGGTGTGCTGCTGGTGGGGGGAGGGGTGCTGGTTCTACCATGCATCTGGTGAGCCGCTGGCCCATTCAGTGGGAATCTTGAATGAATCTCACGTAGGAACCTGGCCTATGCCATTCGAAGAACTAGAGTAATGAGGACTATGGTATAAGAGGGTTAAGGTCTGGTCAGCTGTGGGAAATAGGACTGGATAAGTCAGACTTGATGGAAGAAACCTGGAAGCATTAGGAAAGATTTCGAGCCGGTCACCTCATCTCCGAGATAACCTTTGTTTCTAAAAATTTTAATGGACCATTAAATTCATTTGTGTAATTTACTCCAAATTAAAAAAATAATCCGTGCGTTACAATTTTCTCTTTGAAAGCAAGCAGTGTAGGAAAAGCATTTAGTTCTAAATTTAAGCTGTTGAGTGACAGACTGCCCATTGTACCCTGGGAGATGGAAAAGCGGCAAAGGAAAATAGCTTTGGCTGACTAGCCAATCACTGATGTGATTGGGTGATTTACATAGACCCGGGAGGCTGGCATCTGCCCAGGGGCACACAGCTGGGAGTCGGAAGGAGCCAGCCCTAGAATGTTTCAGACACACCGCTGAGTCTGCCCTTTTTTGTTGCCATTGATTGTCACCCTTCCTGCCCCAGCCCTCACCCTCAGTGCCCCAGGGGATTTTAGATGGCAGGAGACATGTGCCTTTGACCAGCTAGTTCTGCGCATTGGCGCTCTTGGTTGTATGCGTTGAATCACTCTCCACCTGTCCCATGGATACTGAGCAACTTTGCCCGCCTGGGGTTCCAGCAGTGAGCTTGCTGACAATGTCTAGTGGAGGGACTCCATTAAACTGACCCTAAATCTGCACTCCCCTCCCGCTGTGAGGTCACGCCGACAGAAGACAGCCTAAGTAGGCAGTGAAGGCCTTAGAGGAATGTCTTCACAGGGAGAGGCGGTGCGTGAGGCTCCCAGCTCTGCCAGCAGGGGGAACCCCATGTCAAATGTTGTCTGGAGGTTGGGCGCTGCTTGAGGCAAACACATCCGGGTTGATCACTGTTCTGCTAAGTAGCTAATGTGTCTGCTCTTTCTTGGGCTGGCCACATTAGCGACCTTTATAACCTTTCTCAGGAGCCCTGCTCTCTCACCTCACTCAGTACCTTCCTTCTTAACAAACCTGCCATTCCCTGGACCTCTCCGGGGCAGAAGCCACATGATCCAGGCTGAACAAGATGAGGATGACACATTATTTGTGGGCACCCCAAACTTATGTGTGGGTGTTACTAGCCCCTTATACTGTACTTTCACATATGTGTGGATTCAGTCATTCATCAAGATGTTATTGAGCTCTGTGCTGCGACTGGGGAGCAGCTGTGTGGGCTCTGCTGACTGAGGAGGGTGGGAACTCGGGTCCTTTAGAATACAAGGAGGATGAGCCTGGGGTCCCACAGCAGAGGTGATGCATAGGCTAGAGGTTCAGTTCCGGGGGGGGGGGGGGGAGGACCACATGCAGTGTGGCAGCTTCCCAGGCAAAAACCTGGGAAGAGTTGTATGTAGATATTTTGGTGCTAGGGCACTGGGTGGCAGGGGTCCAGGCCCTGAAACTGGAGCTGAGAGGGAGCTGGTGGGAGTTCACTGGCCTTAGATGACACACTCTTCTCTGGAGCTTATCTAGCTGCGAGAAGATTAGAGAAGCCTGAAGCATGGGGCATGACACTCTGCTGACCTCCACAGCATAGCTCAGAAGGGTGGCTTGGATCGCAGTGTGCATCTGTGATAAACTTAAGATTCCTTTTTACGTTAATCTGTGAAAGAACTCATTCTGCTCTCTATTATTCATTATCATTACCAAAAGGTGGGGTGCTGGCTGGTCACTTCGTGGTAGATGGTGAACAAGCAGGAGGGCAGATGTTTGTGATAAGCGCAGTTACCTTGGTGTGTACAAGATGGGCGCTGGCTTACGTAACCATTCCTTGGCTTGCCTGACACTTGGTGTTGCTGGCCAGGCCAGGCCGTCTGTATTTCCCCCTCAGGTCTGGTGAATTGGGTCTAAGATGAGTTTCTGCCAAGAGCGACCCTTTGCTGACGGGACCCTTGTTTTCAGAATCCGGCAGGACGCCTCAGCTTTGCTGATCTTGCTGTGGAAGGTCACAGCCTCGGGCTTCCAGCAGTGCTCCCTCATAGACGGACGAAGCGTGACGCCCCTCCAGGCTCCAGGGGGCCTTGTCCTGCTGGAGGAGATGCTGGCCTTGGGACCCAACCACTTCATCGGTGAGTTAGAGAAATCGTGTCCACCCCACGTCTGACTCAGCCCCACCCCGGCTTGGCGTTCAGATATGGGACACAGGGATTCTGTCTGGATGATGTCGTGTGGTTTCTAGACACCGATTGTGTGTCTTCCCCTTCAAAATGGTTCCATTATAATCAGAGCATCCTTCTGACAGCGTTCCCGGCGTGACTTGCTGTGGAAGGACAATCGGCGCTAGGATTCAGGCGCTGTGTTCTGAGTTCTGACTCGGAAGTAACCGAGTATGTCAGCTATCTTTGCTTGGCCTTCCTCTCACATCCATCGCTCTCCAATATGCCACTTCTCATTGGCTGAAACCGTCCCTGTAATTTTTACTTTCACTAAACTACCATATAGCCAGGAAATTCTTCTGAAATCCCTCTGCCCCGGAGAGTGTGTGGCCTGATTCAAAAGAAAAGTCATCAGCTCTCCTCCAGCCTTAGCCAGCCACGTTCTGCCCTTCCCAAGGACATTTCCCCTGGGTTAATGTTCTTGCTGTATCCTGACAACTGGCTTTATCTGTCACTCAGAGTACAGTACCTCTGGAGTTGAAGCTTGTGACTCGGGCTGGAGAGAGGGCTCAGTGATTAAGAGCACTGTCTGCTCTTCCAGAGGTTCTGAGTTCAATTCCCAGCAACCACATGGTGGCTCACAACTGTCTATACCCTCTACTGCCCTCTTCCGGCCTGCAGGTGCACATGCAGATAGAGCACTAATATGCATAAATAAATAAATACATTAAAAAAAAAAAAAAAGAAGCTTGTGACTCCAGACTTAATGTTGCTGAGAACACTGGGAACTTCATAACAGTTTATTCCATTTTGTAGTTTCAGTGTGGAGACATAAGTTCAAGTTCAGCACTCACTCATACTCCAGTGCACCCAAGCATCTCTCTCCTGCTGTTAGTGCCTTCTCGGCTCCAGCAGTCCTCCCCTGGAAAATGGGGTCGGGCCACAGTTGTCTCAGGAGGGCTTGGGAAGGTTATATGATATAATGTATGTCAAACTGCAATGTTATGGATTTTAGGGATTATTTCAGGGTGTTGTCTCTACTTTTTCCCCCGAGCTACAATATTTTACAAAACGAATAGCAGGCATGTGAGAGGCTTATTCTCCAAGACACGGCCTTGAAGCAGGTATTATCATGAAAATCAAAAGCCAAGAGGAAATGTGCAGCTTTTTCTTCAGTAATGTCTCTTGCAGTCTGCCTCTGAGTTTCTTTCCTTTCATGAAAACACCCCCTTTCAACCTCTGGCAGTCCAGAGAGGAGGAGCAGGTCTTTCACTGGATGGAGACAAGGTCCAGTGATACTTTGAGGAATGAAAATGGCTAGCAAAAGAGGGAGAGGCATTGAATTTCAGACCAAGTTTTGCTTAGCAAGATGTGTTCTAGATAAACAGAATTTGGGTGCTGAAGTTATACTTGTCAGGAGGCAAATCTGAATTGGATTCCACAGCACGTTCCAGAGAACTGTTAGTTAATTCTGTATGTGTTGTAACTCTTTATCTGGAAGGAAGTAGTTGGTGTATTGTGACAAATATTCTGTTATATATTTATGTGTGTGAGTATACATGTATGTATATATGTATGTGTGTGTATGTATGTGTGTGTGTGATTGTGTGGGTATGTGGGTGTAGGCACGGCACATGTAAAGGTTGGAGGACCACCCGAAGAAGCAGATTCTCCCCTTCCACCCTGTGGATCCAACTCAGGTTGTCAAGACTTGGCAGCAAGTGACTTTCCTGACCGAGCCATCTCACTGACCCTAAATCACTTTCTTTTATAATGATCTTAAAAGTTTTCTCCTTTAGTGGATTAATTGCTCTTCTGTGACAGAGAGCTATGTAGTATTTCAAGAACACACACAAAGCGTCGCTGTACCTTAGAATGTCATTAATGTTACTAGAAGGAGTGCATTTAAAATATTAGCTGACATTTCTTGTAGCTGAGCAGCCTCACTGTTGGCAGGGATGGATGTGAACGCTGGTGGGCTTGGTAGGGCAGGATTGGCTAGTGTTAATGTAGACGTATTTTTTGGAGATGGGAGAGATTTTTGAACCCATCTTCAATTTGAGCTCATGTTGCTAACAAAAAATATATTGATGAGCCAAAAGACTATTTTGAGGAGTACAATGGTCTTCATTTTGGAGTGAGAGTAGAACAAAATGTTGAGTTTCGGCCTGTACAGCTGTGTGTTGCTCTTTTCTTCTTTCTAGAAAGAAGCCTAGGGCAGCCTCGTGACGTCATAATTTCCTCTTTCCCCCATGTTCAATAGGTCCCACGTACTGGACTGATGGCCAAACGTAGTATTTCCACACATGTCCTGTGTGGGGTCCTAGCTACATCTTTGGGAGGCAGACCCAGATTTATATATTCTTATAAAGTTCATTGATTTGCAGTTATTGTTTAAGATGATATATTATGGATTAAGGAATATATTATTTATTTATAATGAATACTTAAAACACAGGATACCCGTGATATTTCACTATTATTATTATTATTATTATTATTATTGTTATTATTATTATTATTATGTGTGTGTATGTACGTATATATGAATGTGGGAACCCATGCACCAAGGCATGGAGGCCAGAGGACAACCATGTCTAGTCAGTTTTCTCCTTCTCTTGTTTTATTGGGTCAGAATCTCACTAGGTAGCCCTGACTGGCCTGAAATTTGATAGGTAGCCCAGGTTGGCCTTGAACTCACAGAGATCTGCCTGCCACTGCCTCCTGCGTGCTGGGTTTAAAGGGATACGCCAGCACACATGGCTCCTTCCAACTTTTTGCTTGGGTTTTGAGGTAGAACTCAGGTCATCAGGCTTACCAGACAAGTGCTTTTTACCCATGGAGCCATCTTGCCACCGTTACAGTATTTTTTTCCAGGTGGTCTTTCCACACGTGAATACATTGTGCAGTGTCTTAATCGAGCCGACTATCTCTATCTCATCAAGCACCAATAATTTTTTTTACTGTTGAGTTTCTAGCTGCGAGGCCAACACTCTACCATAGAGGATTATATGTATGTATGTATGTATGTATGTATGTATGCATGCATGCTCTTGTGACTACTTCACAACTCCCACATTTATTAATTTTTACAGTTTTCCTTCATTACCATTGCCTTATTGATGTTACGCTGTGTCTCGGGAAGAAGGGAAAAGACATGGACTCTTCCTGCTGTCCTCTTCCATCAGCGTCTTCTCAGAGTTTGCCACCAAATTCCGCTGCCTCTGCCCTCTGCTTAATTATCCCTTCTGTTTCCCCCCAACCCGTCTTTTCCAAATATGTAATTGGCTTTCTGCAATGTTTGGGGATAAATAACTCAGTAACCTTTGCTTAGCTCTGTCTGCGCTGCAGGGAGCTACGGCCACGCTCATTGGCTCTTCAGTGATTCATTGGCCCCGTGGTTCGCGCTTCCAGAGTCAGGTTCATTGCTCCATGAGACACAGTGGCTTGCTGGTCTCCAATAAATAAAGTGTTTTTATGTTTAATTTGCAGTTTCTTGGTGACATGGAGGTGATCTAAGGGTAAGGACCAAACTAGTTTTCTAGGGGTGTGGCCTGTTAGGATGTTGTGGAAGGGATAGATTCACTATTTCCTTAGGGTGAAATGCCACGGAATCCCTTCCCCAGGCTTCATCCTTTCTTCCCTCCTCCCCCCAGGCTGTTCTCAGCTCTTGTGTGGCAAATGTGGCTCTGCTCACTCACTGCCCAACTGGGTAGCCACCCTCCAGCTCCTGGTGCCTTAGATTCGAAAGTCATCATCAGGACTGCATTCACGCTTCCTCTGATGATACAACACCCAAACAACAAAACCCATCCTCTCTGGAGTCTTTCATTAGAAAAAATAACTAGCCAAAGAGTTTTCTCTCAGTGGCTTCTCAAAAAAAATCTCCATAGATTCTAAAAAACAAAAACAGAACCAACCAACCAACCAACCAACCAACCAACCCCCCCCATTCCCTTAACTCTTTTATTAACACATTTATTATTATTATATTTGTATATGTATGTGTATGTATCTACATATGTGTGCATGTGGAGGCAGAAGTCAACTTCAGATTTAGCTACTCATGCACCATCCAACTTGTATTTTAAGACAAGGTCTCCAAAGTCTGTAGGTGAGGGTGACTGGGCAGCACTGGAAAGTATACGTGACCACAGCCAGGACGCCCTTGAACTCCTGATCCTCCAGTCTCCATTTTTCTTGTCCTGAGATGACAGACTTGTTGTGCACCATCATACTCAGCTTATGCAACAATGGGGACAGAGCCAAAGGCTTCACAAACACCCGCCACGCCACTGTCTTAACCTAGGGGCATTCAGATCTGTGGTTGGATTTCTACCCTTCCCACAAGCTCGCTGGCCCCAGCCCTATAACACACTGCGTGTTCTCCCCATTCAACAAGTACATCCTCCCTTAACTCCGGCTTCCTTCCCTTCCTCCAGCTCTTTCATCCAACATCTGTATCAGCACCATTTGTCTCCCTTTCACTCTGACAGCTGTACCGGCAGCTGGCATTCCACAACTGGGGAATGAATACTCTTCATTCCCCTCCCGACCACTGTTTTCTATGTTGGCCCTACGCCTTGGAAGGACTGTGGAGGTCTGGAGAGGAAAGCCCACATCATTGCTGCCTGCCATGACGATGGCCACAGGCTAGTCACCTGCCTGGTGAAATTCAGCCGCACATCAGTGACTCCCTCAGAAAATGCCACTCGAGGAAGCTTTCAGCTGCAAAATGTCAATCTTAAGAATTCTTTGCAGAAAAAAAAAATAAGAATTTTTTTGTAGACTTTCTTAATCCACCTCTGTGACATTTAAATGCCGTCTTTTTATTACATTAAAAGAATTTTAGAGGTTCAAATGCAAAAAAAAAAAAAAAAAAAAAAAAGAAGAAGAAGAGAAAGAAACTTTTGATCATTCTTATGGGAATGTTACATTTTGTCATTTAGGGTCTCTTGCTTGGGGGGTCGGGG